GGTGCGGCCGGGTGTGGCCGGGCTGGTGGCTCAGCGAGGACGGGGCACCTGGAGTCGGGGACGGGGACGAGGCTGTGGCCGGCTCCACGCGGGAATCTATCTGTCCGGTGGCTCCAGGACGGGGCGCCGGGCCTGGGCGGGGCGGTTTGTGGAATCCCGGCAAGGGAGGGGAGTGGGCTCGGTTAATTCGGAGGAAACCGCAGGGATGGCGTGAGCCCCCGGGCACAGCTTGGACAGAGAGGAAAACATTCGCCAGCTTTCGGAGCTGCCTCGCCCAGCTTTGCCAACTTTCCGTGTTCGCACACTGCTTCCGTGGTAAAGTTTAAAATAAACTTCTCTTTTCTGTAACAATAACCTCCTTTTTTTGGTGCTGAAGATGGAGCCCAGGGGCGCTCTACCACTGAGCTACGCCCCTCGTCCACTTTTCTTTTTTTTTTGGAGACAGGGTCTCATGAAATTACCCAGGCTGAGCTCCAAATGACTATCCTCCTGCCTCAGCCTCGGGTGGTAGCTGCCATGGCTTCAGCCAGTCCTTTTAAGACACTAACTTTGAACCCTTCCCAAGGTGGGGCCTCATTCCAAGGACGCAGTGAGCACCCTTGGCCTTCGGAGGGCTGGAGCGGTGGGAATAGACAGGGGCCCTGGGCGCGCGTCGCGATCCGCTCACTGCGCCGGGTCCCGACAGCTCGCTGCGTCGCACGTTGCTCAGGTTCTTGCTAAAGACTCCGCTGCCCGCTGGCGGCGCCCGTCGCTTGTCGTCGGTCTAGGTCCTCTAGCCTTGCACCGCAGCGGGACCCAAATGAGGACGGCGGCCCTCGTGAGTCACACGGTGACCTGGGGAATCTAGGGCCCGGAAACTCCGCTAAGTCTCGCACAGTGCGGCCTCGCCCTCCTGTGATCGTCGGGGGGTTTTGTTTTTGCACCGGGAATCGAACTCGGGACCTCGAGCTTGCCAGGCAGGCACAGTGCCACTGAGCTACACCCCCGCAGTTTTCGTTTACGTTGTTGTTGGTGGTATTGTTTTTGTTTCCGGTACCGGGGATCGAACTCCGGACCCTGTGCTTGCGTGGCAGGCGTTGGCACCACTGAGCCGCATCCCCGGGCCCCCGCGGTCGTTTGGGACCTCAGCTCCCCACCCCCGAAGGCGCCTGAGCCGGTTCTCACTGGCTCTGCGCCGGCAGCCGGAGAGCCCGCCCGCTCGCCCGCC